CACACCACACACCACACACCACACACAACACACAACACACAACACACAACACACAACACACAACACACAACACACAACACACAACACACAACACACAACACACAAACACACAACACACAACACACAACACACAACACACAACACACAACACACAACACACAACACACAACACACAACACACAACACACAACACACACACACACTCATGCACGCATGCAAGCACCCACGCACGCGAGCAAGAAAATTTAGCGTCACATTGATTGTAGTGTTTGTTTGATGGAATCAGAACTCTCGCTCCGCTCTCGCTTGACCGCAAGGCACCCGCAGCCACGCCAACTTTGGAGGGGAGGGCAGCCTGCCGGTCGGCTTGAGGCGGGAGGGTTGGGGTGGGGCGGGGTGGGGCGGGGTGGGGTTTCTTTTGATTCTTTGGTGTGTTTTTTGTACACAAGCGCATTTTGTCGAGGAAAGGGGGGGTGGGGGTGGGGGTTTAAAATGACGCCAAATGGAATCCAGTTTTTTCCCAGGCTCCCAAACCCACAATTGGAAATTGCCAGATCGTTTCTTTCGCTTGGTTCTGGGGCAAAGCTTCCAATTGAGGGTGGGCCACGTACGTTTGGGCGAGTCACCCTTCCTTCAATCGTAGCACGTGTGGCGCGCCAGCCACCAACCGCCGTGCAGGCCTTGCTGGAAAAGGAGTTCCAAGCTGCTGGAGGGCGCTTTGCGTCTGGAAGTCACTAGCCCCACGACCTTCGGCGGAAGGGGGGGAGGGTCAAAGACGTCACTCAATGGTAGAGATCTGCAATCTCCTTTGACCCATATTGATACACATGCACTTGCCGATTTTCCACAACCGTGTGCGTATTTCGGCAACTCGAAACCCACAAGGAAGATCCTCATGGCTGGGAGGAACGCGCGCCTTGAATAAGCGCACTCGGCCATTTTCACAACAAAGGCCGCCGCGAATCCATGGACGCGGAAGTTCGGGGGCTTTGTGGCAGTTCGGGCACGCCTTTAAGGATCGAGGATTTGGTGGCGAGTGTGGAGAATGGCCTTCCATCCTTGGAGAGCATGGACTACCATTGGAGCCGTTTCCTTGGTGCTTTGTCGAACTGAGGGCCAATGGACTTTTCTTGTGGGAGGGGGGGTGTCGTCCCTGCACTCGGAATCTGGGCCTTGAACATGTGTGGGCGCGGATGATCTCAAGTTGTGGGCGCAGATGACCCCGCGTCAGGGTAACCAACAGTTCTGGTTTTTTCATGAAGTGGCCAGAATCGCATACCTTGTGGAATCTTGAGGGGCCTCATATTTCGATGTTTTCCTGGAGCAATGAAGATAGGGCGTCGCAAACACTGCATGTTATCTTTCTTGCTGAAGAGTGAGATCTTTGCAAATGCTCATTGAACTCAAGAGGCTCTTTGATCGACTGTGAAACACATAAGATCACCGCAACTACAATGTCAACAACTCTTGCTGAACTTGACGGGCTCATGAGATGCTATGGTGCAGCTTTGTTTCTTCGTGGTGGATAGCGACTCAGGCTGGAGCGCCGCCCGTGCAATTCCCAAACACGGGCTGTCTGGAGACTTTGAGACAACATGTCGACGGAATGCAGCGACTCCGTGACGCGTTTGATAGCCTTATTGCACAGCTCTTCGTCGTTCAGAGTGAATCAGCGCAGTGTCTTTGAGGAACACCCAGTTGGATAATTACACATATGAGATGCTGAAGAAACAGTGTCACGACCTCTTCATCACGACCAGGACTTCGAACCAAGATCCAACACTTCGTCCGCCAGGAGGTTCGCGACAGGTGTCTGTGCCAGGAAGAAGGGAAGAAAAATCAAAAGGCAAATGAGGCAATCGCTGATGAGGCGGTTTCAAACCCTTTCGACGGATTGGAGGAAAGGGAAACACAAGTATCATAATCCTTTCGATGGAAAGAAAGGCTATCCATCAAAGACAACGGAAAAGGCAACGGCCCAAAAGACAAAGCAAAGTCCAGAACAGAACATTCGCTGCCGTCGCAGAAAAATCAAAGGAGCAAGCCGTCCCACAGCAGGCTGCTGACCTCCCAGAGCCGGTTGGAACCACCCGGGTTGGGACCCATCATGGACTTGGAGTGAAAGTGGCTGGCGCTCAAGTCATGAGATTCCGAGCGCAGGGCGTGCGATGATGCAAGTCATGACGCATTTCAACATCAGGGCAATGACGCCATTGACAAGAAGCTGACCAGGTCAGTGGGAAGCTGGCTTGCAATCCAGTGATTTCCACACACCAGTTCTCATATGAGTGCATCCCGGCAGATACCAAGTTCACCTTTGGCAATGGGGAATCAGCTAAAGGCAACTGAGTTTTACACTTCAAATATCACCCGACATCAACATTCTGGGGCAAGGCGCGGCGATCCTCAGTATTTATCACATGAGGAACTTGCGCATGACTATGGAGCGCAATGCTCAGTGTGACGAGAACACATGTACAACTTTTGGCATGTACAGTTCCAGCATCAGGTACAGGACATGCCTTGTCGAGATCGTTGTGAAAGCAACCATTTCGTCTATGATGACGATGCATCAAGTTCCCCCCAGTAGAACCTGCAAAATGAGAAGTTGTATGTGCTTCCAAGTCATTATGGTGGACACAGCAACTCCAAAGCTCGTCAGATCAGTGAAGCAAGATCATTGGGTTCTTGATTAGAAACAAACTCACTCACGTCCACGTCATGCTTAAAGGGATGTCCAATAACTCCAGATAAGATCAGGTAACAATGTACCACATTTGACAGGTGCCTCGCAAGGTGGAACCTAACAGGCAAACCGGTCCATGGTAAACCTGTGCAAACTGTCTTCACCTTTGCAGACAACTCGCTGAAGGATGAATGAAGAAGAGACCTCACCAACTACTTAGCGATCCTCCTGCAGCGCCAGTTGACGAGCCAACGTCACTTCCGCTTGCCACAAGCGATTGTCACAGCCAGACGAGTTGAAGAAGCTTCACCTCCAGCATCATCGCATGAATACTGACCAATTTCGATTTCGAGCTCGCTTCACTTGCCAATATCAACCTCTTCGAGAAGGTCAGCAGTGAAGATCACCGTCAAGTTCCCCTCGCAACTGGGGAACACATCATCGTGTTTGACATTTTGGACGGAGCTACAACGCTGCTCACTGTGGAGGAGGTGAACACGACACAAGGGCTTGAGAACATCACCGTTCCGCAGGAACTACTTCGACCAGTGCCACTTGCAGCCCAGAACAGGCGTTGGAGGGGAGATCAGGCCTTCATGACGGACACATGGGTTCATTTCTATCAGTCCAATCTCTTTGGGGCCGAACACACCATGGCCGAACCGAGCGGAACCAGCAGATCATGCTGAACTCCATCAGAGCATCAACTGCGCTACCGACAACTTGTCAAGTCCGCTGTGACGGTCAGAAATCAGGCCGGCAACAAAAATTGAGCTCGCGTTCGGAAGAAGACCAGCGGATCTCATTGACCTAGATCTTGCGACACCGACCCTGGGGGGCCCCCCGATGGCAACATGTATTCAAGCGCCCTTGTGGGTCATCTGTGGCGCTGTTTCAAGTCTCAGGCACCTCCTCCCTCCACCTCCTGGGGGGCATGATCCTTCGGCTCAATGAGCACTACATGAACAAGTGGCTTGCTTGCGGAATGTGGTGCTTAGTTTTTTACTTGGAGATGTACAGGTATGGATGTCATGAAGTCCGTACGGCTGGAGCGTTTGACCTCCTGAAAAGCATGCTTCTTCGGCTCGGTGAGCACTACTGACATATGAATGCGCGTGCTGCGGCTGCGTGGCTCTTCTCTGTTGAGCATCTTGCACTGATTGGAGGATAATCTGCAACTGCAGCGTGATGACGGGCATCAGATTATTCCATGCTCCCTTCAGTCGGCGTAGCAAGATCTCAAACTTGGAAGTGGCAGTGAGAACTTTGAACTGTGTTCTCTGTGATTGAAGAAACTGAGGAGTCGAAATAGGCACACGTTGGCCGTGCCATTCAGGAAGTACTTCTTCAGCGCTTTCCTGAAGTAGTTGACTCCTTGATGTGGATTCGTAGAAGCTTTCTGTGGATGAGCGCGTCGCCCATGGGTCTGCTCTTCCCAGCGCTCTGGTTCAACTGTGGTGAAAGAGGTCACTGGTGCGAAGCTTTCTTCATCTGATTACATCGTGACGAATCTTGTTGGAAAAAACCCGCCCTGCGGGGGATGATGTTCCTTTGCCGACCCAATCGCAGACGGCTCAGCCCATTTTACAGACTGTTGCGGCGCCATCACCGCCATGGACTTTGAATCTTGAGCAAGCAGAAACACAGGAACCTCAATTGCAAAGCCGTCCTCCGAAGAAGCAGAAAACTGGGAAGAAATCTGATAGTCAGACGCGACTCTTATGATCCAGCTTCCTCGTCGAGAGACAGTCCGCACAATCCAGCAATTTATCAATGGGTTCAAATGATGGAGAAGAACTCATGCCTCACGTTCTGACATCATCCAGCGCCACAGGTGACCTACGATCAGAAAACGTGAGCTACCATCAAATCTTTTCCCATTTCCTGCTCCAAGACATGATCTACTTGGCGAGTCCAACCGACGTCTCGCTTCGGATTCTCTTACCAAAAATAACAATTTGGATCATCTCTGCAAGGCTCCCAAAGTTTGTGGGAGTTTCGCATCCACCATACTCACCAATACTCACCATACATTGGCGACCATACAAAAGCAGGCCGGTGTACACATGTATACTATGGCAAGCCTCGCACCGATCAATGAAAAGATATCATCAGATGTAATTGTTTGATCTTGAGGGAGCAGATGATTGTCTAATGGATCCTGCTTCTGTACCCAGAATCGACGAGTTCATGGAGCTCTTTCATTCTGTTCATGTTGATGATCTTCTTATGGTTGGCGACGATGTGCTTGAGAAGGAAATCATGGGCCGACTATGAAAACGCTTCCAAGTTGGCTCAGAAGATAATTCGCAGTGGTCGGTGATGCTGCTCCCGATGCGCGACGAGAAAACTAATAACGAATGCGGAACTGAGTTCGTGGTTGTAACCAATGTGTCTGACCCAACACGCTTTTTGTAGGCGGTGCATCTTCGTGGTTAAAGGAATGTCATCCTTGAGGTTCTTGTCAAGGGTGATCTCCTGAAGTTCATCGATGGCAACATTCTGATGGACTTTCGTGCCATCAATAAGACCGCCAGAACTAGCAGTACTGGGTAGTAATGTGTGTTATGTGGGGCACAAGGTCTTTTGGCTGAGGAGGAGATACCCACTGTGGGTGTCCAATGGTCTGTTCCTCATCGAGAATCTGACCTGATGGAAGAAATTGATCACATCGGGGTCCGTGCCAAAATGCTGAACGAGTATGTGATACAAACTGGTTGTCTACTTGCAAAGGCAATGATGTCCGGACTGTACATTCCACAAGACATGTCTTACTCTGCAACATTGTACGGAAGGATGGGTGTGCATGGTTGCCAGTCAGAACTGCGTTGATCAACTCATCTGCTTTGCCTGCATGCTTCGTCAAGGAGTCAGCGAGGCAACCTTCGCTTCGTACACGTGCAAAGTCATGCATCAGTCCGCTGTTGCTTTCCTTCCGCAACATTTGTACTAAGAGCGTTGTTTCTGTCTGTTCAGGCTGATGTGTTGTTGTTACAAGGTTGTTTGCATCGTCTCTGAAGTGCGCGTCTGCAACTTCACTACAATATCTAGCAGCGCCTGAATTTTCATTTTTGTGCATATGGACTGAAAGATCTTGAATCAGCACTGCGATGCAGCCGGCAAGCCTGCTTCACATTTTGCTTTCCGAGATCATGAAGTCAATATTCAGAAGATGTCAGAATTTCAGGCCATGGTTCAGTGAAACATGAGCATCAGCCTTTGGACGGCAACACGGGCACATATAGAAGCAGAGCCAATTGGCACAGGTTTTGCCTTGTCAGTTCTGCCAGAATCTCGCACGCATCATTTTGCGTCGCCTCAGGGCCCAGGCCTGTGTACAAATGCGATTGGGAGGAGTTTGGCCCAAGACAATGGCATGCAGTCATGTGTTCACCAGTTCACAACGCATGGACAGAAGCACCTGCAATCAGACCAGCGCATGTTGATCCTCCTTTGGGTGCCAAATTTGCAAAGTCATCCTATGCCGCCAGCCACTCCACCGCCCCTTTTTCTACCACAGAAAAAGACCTGGCAGCGCCCGCTATTCCTTAGCCTGAGAACTTCCACAACAGTGTCAACCATCAGCTCATCAGATTTTGTTTGAGAACCATATCTAGAGTTATTAGAGACTATCTCCTCTTGGGGATTCAGTATTACCTGTGCGACCCACGTGTGGCACCACCCAGTTAAGCTTGCCAGGCTCCTCTTCGGTGGCTCGCCTTGAGCGAATGCAAAGCACAAAGCAAAGGTGCGCTTGTTTGGAAGGTTGGTTTCAAGGGGAAGCGTTGGGCCATTTTGAAGCACACCCGCTTTTTACGCCTGTGTGTTGTGAGCGGGGGGAGGTGAGAGTGAACAGGCTTTGAAATTGATTCCTTGCAGGCCTCCTTGCCATTTTTTTGACAGGTCCTGGGCTAAGAGGAATGCTACAGTTTCCGAAAAGTCAAGGGGGGTGGGCAGCGGGGACATTGCAAAGGCAAGAAGCACCTCCCATACGTCCCGCTGTTCACGGTCTACCTCTTCTACCAAGACATCCCGATTAGGTTCGTTGGGTTTCGCCCCCTGGCGCCGGAAGCACCTAGCCTTCACGGACTCAGGCCTCTTTGCTTCTGGGCCTACTAGCCCTGCCTTATCAGTGTCAACGAGCAAGTGCTGATCGGTTAGAGAAAGTTAGCATTCAGAAAGACAATGTAGCGTTCCTTGTTTACATTCCCGACTGCCATATTTTAGGGAGCAGACGGTTCTTGCAACTGCGTCATGCTTCTGACCCCACTGCGTGGAAAACATGTTGTCAATTTTGAGTATGTCTTCCGCCCAGGCTGAGTTGCTGCTCGGCGCAGGTGGGCAGTGGATGTGAGGGTGCCGTCAAGAGACGTTGTTTTATCGAGGGAACCCTTTGCAGTTGAAGTCAGGTATCCCCTAATTGCTGGTTTGGATTTGAATTTTGAACCCCTGGTTCTTGTAGACAGTAAACGGGAACCTTCCCTCAGCCACCAAACCAACAATCCAAACCAACAATCGGGGCCCGGTATGAGGGCAGGCGTTTCCGAGGGCGGCAGCGCCGAATGATCAAACAATCAAGTCGTTGCACACGGATGACGAAACGGGACAAGTAGAAGTGAGGCTTTTCAATTGGGGTGCTACTTCATCGGGCTTAAAGACAGCCCGCGACGGGAGCGGGCTCCGCAAAAGCCACCAGGCGTCGGGGTTGGGGCCCGTTTCTCCTGTGAGGGTAACGTAAACGTCTTGTTTCCATTTGAGCCCCGTTACTCGGTTGACATTTGAACATCTGAATTATGACCTCAGGTGTGCAGAGTTTGTCGGCGCCAGGATGATCTCGGCTGCAACCTCAAGAGGCAAAGGTGTCTCAAGGTTGTCAGGACCCCAACTGTGCCACCAAAAACATCCCAAAACGCAAGATGGTAGAGACGTCGACTGGCCAGACCAAGTTACAGGGGCTCCGTGCCGAGGTTTCTTCGACATGTGATGCATGGCAGATCAGCACCTTTTCGATTCCTGCCGCCAAGCCAGGATTTGTCGCGAGAGGTTGTCGCCTTTTGGGCGAAATGCACTGGAATCCACGAGTTTGCTTGTGATCCTTCCTTTTCCAGAGCCCAAGGCCAAAGTGCATCAGAGGTGTTTCAGTCTTCAGAAAGTTGCTTGAGCCAAGATACTATACAAGCACAACGAAGCAAGCCCCACACGTGACCACTTGCAGCACACACGGACACCGACAAGGACCAATTTTGGCGGCATGGTTTATTCCACTTGCTTTGCTTTTTTCTTCATACTTCCCCCTGTACTGAAGATCGTTCTGGAATGCCTGGTGTTATACCTGGCTTTCTGAGGAAGAGTGGTGCTGAAATTGCTGCGTGCAAGCAGACATTTCACGAATGGATTGAATGTGCGCGGGTTTGCGACAGATCCTTGGCGAGGCAGGAGGGTGGTAGGACCCTGCCAATAAGTCAGACAACATCCTTTCTCGCCTCAGGCATCTCTCAAGGTTTCCACGCGTGCGCGTGGCCCACTGCCGCTTTGCGGGTGAAAGTGGATTGCGTGTGTTCAAAGGATGCTCTTATTGCCCCCAAATATGCCAATAGCCCATTGACTCTTTGAGATGTGCCTCGGGGACGTGGCCTAGCGGTCCGCAAAGATTTGGGGCGTCGCATGTCAGCGGCGGCTGCGTATGGATGGTTCTAAACTGGGCTACCGGGGTCATTTGGGCCATTTGGGTCTTTGTCACATCGATTTGATTCAGAGGTGAAGTTGACAACCAGCATGCTGTAAACTGTCCACCTCACAGCCGCTTGCAGCCTTAGCGCTCCAAAGCTCTAGACGGATCCTCCCGCGCAACATTTTACAACCGTTTGCTGTTGGAGAGGGCATGAGACAAGCAAAAAGGCAAAAGAAACTTTAATCTGGTCAAGTTCCCCTTTCCCTTGTTTCAATGTTTGAGTTCCAGTCAACGGTGGGTGGGAGGATCCTATCGATAATAAGCTTCTTACCCGCACCGGCGCCGCTCAAGGTTTGCACGTGTGTGTGGAGCCCACTACCGCCTGTGCGGTTCAAAGTGGAATGCGTGTGTTCAAAGGCTCATAGGTCTTTTAGAGTTTTAGCGCTCCAAGAATCAAGACGGATCCCCCCTCGCAACATTTTACAACAGTGTGCTGTTGGAAAGGGCACGGGACAGGCAAAACGGCGAAGGTCAAGTTCTCCCTTTCCCTCCATTCAATGTTTGGGTTCCAAGGCAACAGGGGGTGGGAGGATCCTATCGATAATAAGCTTCTTACCCGCACCGGCGCCGCTCAAGGTTTGCACGTGTGTGTGGAGCCCACTACCGCCTTTGCGGTTCAAAGTGGATTGCGTGTGTTCAAAGGCTGCTTGTGTGGCCCCCAAAAAAATGCTCTTGGTCCGTTGTGAATTTTGAGTGTTCAACCATAGTTTTTGATCAACCAGCCCATGCATGGGATTGACCATTGACTCTTTGAGATGTGCCGGGGGTCATACAGTTGGGGCATGTCATGGTCTCCGGCGGCTGGGCTGCTCTCCAGTTCAAAGTCGAGACAAGCGGACATGGCATTGTCATGAGGCACATGCGTTTCTTCCCCGGAGTCGCCTTTTGGCTTGGGCCCGCCCTGCTTGCGGGTTCGGAATCCGACCTGGCGGCGGGAAGCAACGCATGCGACAGTTGACTTGAACCGGAGAGGGTGCCAATGCCCCCCGAATGTTTTGCCGGTAGAAATCGCGTAACGGGTTTGCGCCTGAGCGACCTGAGGAGTTACGAAATGCTGAGTCGCAGGCCGTTGGCGTAAACCCCCTCCATCACAGGGGGGCTGTAAAAGGCCAGTCCGCTACCCCAAGTCGCGGAGCATGACAATCAGATTTGCGCCATGAGAGTGCACGTGAGAAAAAAAAACACTCCTGCAGCCTCGAAGATCTCATTTTGGTCTGCCGGTGCCTGGCAGAGTGCGGACAGACTGGACACAAGTGTGTGCATGCGTGCGTGTCGTGTCGTGTCGTGTTGTGCCGCGCCGGGCAATGCCGTGCCGTGCCGTGCCGTGCTGTGCCGTGCCGTGCCGTGCCGTGCCGCGCGCGCGTGTGTGTGTGTGTGTGTGTGTGTTGTGTTGTGTTGTGTTGTGTTGTGTTGTGTTGTGCTGCGCTGCGCTGCGCTGTGCTGTGCTGTGCTGTGTTGTGTCGTGTCGTGTTGTGTTGTGTGTGGTGTTGTTGTGCTGTGTGTGGTGTTGTTGTGTTGTGTGTGATGTTGTTGTGTTGTGTGTGTGTGTGTTTTGTGTTATGTTCGTGTGTGTGTTTCTTGGA